ACTATTGTCACATCTCATATAACATAAACAGGGTTCTAGTAAAGCAATCACTCATATAAAAGGTGGTGCAGTTACATAGTATCCTGGGGCAGTGCTTCCTCAAAGTTCCAACACTGAGGGAGATCCTCCACATAAAATCTCCTACTACACAAAAGAGTTTTGCTGAAGAATGCAATGCCTCCCTGAAGGCTAACTCTGATTCAGGGGGGATCCAAAATGTTCCCGAAGAAAAGACGGTGAAGAGTTGTAGTAGCAGTAGCTGATAAGCAATCTGTTAACATGGATCATTCCCCTGTCAAAATATCAAGAAATTGGCCAGTACATTCTGCAACACTTTTAAACTGACAATACAGCAGGGAGGACTAGCTATATATTGTTGAGCAGCTTCTTTTCTTCCAACTAGTCTGTAATTTGCTTTTTCTATAGTCTGTCCTGTTGGGGGCACTCAGGTACAGCAGCAGATTTCTCCTGCATTATTTGTTTTCCCTTTTACCCCACACATACAGCTATTTTATTCATGAATCACAATATTCCATTTAAACAATTAAACGTGATTTTTTTATCACTTTCAGGGGGGGAAAAGAGAAAAGTTTGTCAAAGTCATTAGGAAGAATACGTAACAGTTCCATAAAGTTTACCAATAATCTTGCTGTGTTTGTATATTGTAGCGTTTAGGTCTGAATCAAAGCAAACTCTCTCTTCTTTCTTGCTTATTGTTGAATTGTTTGTCTTACACAGTATTTGGACATAGCCAAATCTTGTTACGCTTGTTGCATCTTTAGCATATTTTTGTAGTCAGTTTGTAATATCATTACTCATTAACTCATTTCTGTTTAATCAGAGATAGCCAGCCTGACAGGAGAAATAGCTGCTCTGAAGGAGACTTTCTAACATTGTTTCATTTTTCAGTGGTTCCTTAGGCAATAATCTTTCCTTCCAGTCCTCATCATCTGTCTTGCACCTATGAAGTCAAGTGGTTAGATAGAGGGTTGGACCTTATCCAAGGGAAAATGAGAGAATGAAAGAATGATGACATCCAACTGCACAGGGAAAGAAATCCCACACTGCTAAAATCTCAACCTTTACATGCAGAAGTTTAGATTTTAGTTCTGCTGATGCAGACGGTCCTGGAGATTCTCTTTATGTTCACTGGCTCGTACAGAAAAAGAGCTTTGTACACTGGGGGTACGTCTAGACTATAGGCTTCTGTCGACAAAGAGCATCTAGACTACATCCAGTTCTGTCAACAAAGCAAGCCGCTTTGTTGACATCAGAGTGTAGACACAAAGGACAGTGTAGATGCAATAACGCCTTCTGTCCACAGAACTCTGTCAACAAAAGGCATTATTCCTCATAGAATGAGGTTTACCGCCGTCGACAAAACTGCCAAGTTCTATAGATGTTATGTCGACAGAACTTGGCGGTAGTGTAGACGCAGGTATAGTTTTGTCGACAAAAGTGGACTTTTGTCAACAAAACCCTGTAGTCTGGACATACCCTGGGAGAACTTGTACAACAGAGCCCCAAACCAACCAGAACTATTCTTGATGCATTTCCTTCATGTTATAGTACAACAGGAAACCACAAGTCAGATAATGAAAAACTAAAGCACTAGGATGTCATCTCTCCTGCAATTGTTTCTGAGCAAGTTTGCCTTTGGAGACTAGAGCTGTATGAATAATCAATTTTTTGATTCACCAGAAAAACTGAAAAAAAAAAGAAAATATTTCTTTTAGATACAAAAGACAATATTTTCAGTTGCCTCAGACATTATAACTCCTTTTTAAAGAAATTTTTGAACCAGAGAAGATGGCATCCCCCTGATACCTATGTGAGAAAACATTAGTCCCTACTTCACTCAATCAGAGCAGATATTTGAATGTTGGTCTCCAACATCCTGACATCCATAACCTCTGGGCTGTAATGAAGTGTGGCAATACCATCTCTGCCTCCTTCATTTTATTAATGGTGTACATGTTCCCCTTGCAAATCTAGCTCAAACACATATTTCCTTACAGAAATGTCAATACAGTTCATTTTGACATTTACAAAATATCTGATAGGGATGTCAACATGTAGTTGACTACATGATTAACCAATAAGCCTGGACTTATTGTTTAATCCTATAGACTACACATATCCCTTCCCTTGTTGTCTCTGTATCAGAGACAGCAAGGGGGAGGGGAGGGAGAGAGGCAGGAGCTGATGCCTGTGTGGAGAAGGTTTTTAAACTGGCTTTCTATGCATGCTAGCTCTGCAGAGCCGCCTCCCCTCCTTGCTGCCTCCCATAGAGGCAGCAGTGTGGGGGAGAGGGGTAGGGGAGGCTGCCACAGAGCAGCCTGTGTTCAAGGTGGGCCCAGACTCACTGTGGTCAGAGGCTGCTCCATGGTAGGCCAGCGCAGCTTCTGTGCACCAGGAGCTTGGGCCACCAGTGGACAGGGGCAGCAGGTGGGAGCCGGTCTGCGAGGGGCGCCAATTTTAAACTGGCTCTCCTCACAGACCAGATCCTGCTTTCCACTCCACACTGCTGCATCTGATAGACAGGCAGCAGTTTGGGGTGACAGGGGGCTCCTCAGGAGTGGAGCCATAAGCACACTGCCTGCCAGCGCCGTCCCCAGCGAATATCGAAATCGTATAATCACTAAGTTTTGATGCGGTTACATGATTATTCAATTACTCTATATCTAACTTCCCTAATACCTGACCAATTAACCAAAACAGACACGAATCTGTGAAATGTTTTGGCTGACTCACCCAAAACTGCATTTTTCAGCAATAAAAAACTTCAGATATAAAAGCTTCACTCAGCTCTACTAAGAATTTTACCACTAAGGACAAAAAGCAGAACACAGACGAGGAAGAGCAATAATCTTTTGCCATCCATTTGTGTTGCTTTACCAATATACTGTATAAAAACTGTTTACTACTATTAACTGATTTATGAAAACTAAAAAGTCCACAAAAAATGTTTGGAGACTTCTAACAAGTTATTTTTATTTAAACAAATCCAGGTTATGCCAGTTTCTCTTATTTTTGCTTAATTGTATGAAGTTTTACAAGAGTCAAGCTAAACTTTTTACCTTTTACCTACTTGAGGTAATGAAGGATATAGGCTTCTCACAAAACTCTAGGGTTCATTTAACTGAGGTTACCTTCTGTACCACCAATCTAAATACTCTTGTGGGTGGCCCATTAGCCATTGCTATGGAACTCCTTTCCACCAGATACCAGAATGACCATGAAACTTACCATCCTATAAATAAAATGTAAAAAAAAATATCTTTCCACTAGTTTCCTCCTCCCTGTTCATGTTTGGATCAAGTACCCATGCACATACATTCAGCATGTTCTCCAACAGTTTGCCCTGCAAGGTGCCAAGCGTCCTCATTTCCCATTGGCTTCAATAAGAGGTCAGCGTGTTCAGCACCTCGCAGGGCCAAGACCCAGATGGAGGAGATGACAACACTGTATGTGGGTGTGTATATGTGTGGAGGAAGGGCAAGAGAGAATTTCATATTTGCTTTATCTGAATTTGCAGGAGCTCTGATATCACAATGACTGACACTTCAAAAATGGAACTAGACTAGACATAAGGTAAGGTGCATCTAGTCTCCTCAGGCTGTTGAGAAGAGGATGGGTTAAGTGGGTGTAAGGGGTTAAGATGAGTAGAAACTGTTAGTCCCAACTGGCAAGTTGACATTCTATTGTATACATGAATAGAGTGTATGGCAGACACATTTTTAAAAATTGAAAAAAGTAAAATAAGCATTGTATAGTCATATAAGTGAGGAAATGTCTGGGTTTTTCCTTTCTTGACCTTGACTGTTGTAGAAACTGTTTCCTAATTAAGATGTATGTTAGTTTTCTTCATTTTTTCAGACTAAAGACTGACTAAAGACTTTCTCTTATTATTTGCTTCTCAACTGTTAATAGTAGAAATATGTATATTAATTCCAAGCAGTGTAACAAGAGTCATCAGGAGACTTGTTACAATTTTGCTTTCGTAAGTAGATAACATAACTACAGTAATCTCTGTACTTAAGTGTGTCACAGTTTCAGTGTTAGCTGCACCCTTCACACACACACACACACACACACACACACACACACACACACACACACACACAGATTTCCTGTAGGGTGCCATCATAAGGTTTCCAGCTCCCAGCTGTCACCTTTCTCAAGTGCAGACCCATGTCTCTCACCATCCAGTCTATGGGTTTAGGCTTACAGTCCCTCTGCACTTCATGTGGCTTCCTGAGCAGGGCAGACTGGGATCCAGCCAGGGGCATTAATAGTGAAGAGGTTAGAGAGCCATGTCCCCCACATTTCTAAAAGTGGGAGGGTCATGCCTGCCCACTTTTTAATATGAATGTAGTTTGAGGGCAAGGGGCCACATTGCCCCTCCCCACAACTGCAAACCTCAGGCAGGCATGGAACAGTGTCAACATGGGCTGTGCTATGCAGCGGGGAAGCTGATACGGTAATCAGCTCTCCCACCGTGAAGTGCAGCCCACTAGGCATTGTGAGGCTTAGATTGTTTAATATTTATGAGGTGCTCTCATAGAAAATGCTACATTAATTCAAAGTATTGTTATAGTTTTGAATAATAAATAGGCCTGTTAAAAACACAGAAAAGTTCTGGACCACAAAAAGATATAGATTATATCAAAGACATCTTTAACTATCAGTCCACTAGGCAGACTTCATCCTTGTATTTTCTTGTTTGCCTATCTGCCACTTTACAGTGCCTGTTTACTGCTGGAGTCCTGAGTTGAAAAGCTGTGGCAGATAGCAGATGTACCAATTAATAACCTGTCAAGGCTGATGGATAGAATAAAAAAAATATTCTCACACACATCTCCTGTGAGTTTTTCTTCCCCATTTCAAGACACTGGGGGTCATGAGACACACTCTGCTTCCCCGGAGAGAGAAGAAACTGTCTCATTAGTGTCTATCTTTCATGACACTATGACGTTTCCTTTGAGATGTTAACTCACCTGTTCTTCTCCTAGAATTCGGAAGTGATGAAGCTCTTTAATCAAGGAATCTGGACATCCAGCTGTTGGAAAAAAACAAAGAAATGAATTTCAGAATTCACTGTTCATGTTTTTGGGCTGCAATGTACCGTGCACAGATGCAGAGAGGACAGGATATACAGATCACATTAGACAAAAAAAGATTACATGAAACAGATTAGAAAGATAAGCTACAGTTCTATGAGCATCTGAGCACTGAAAGCCATCTATCAAAACAAATCCTACCACATTTGTGAACGCACTTCCAGAAATGCTTTGAAAGGTTATTTTCTGTATATTTTAGACCTTACCCCAAAGGACTACAAACAAGAAAGAGAGAGAGAAAAGAAAAGGGCAGTAACTTCTGCCAGATACTGCTAGCCCCTAAGTGTAGGAGTCAACATATTGTAATTAGAGGGATTCACATCAAAACCCTGGAACTGAACATAGCTGAATTTGGATCCAAATAATGGCGTAGGTCCATTTCTAAGCTTTCCTCAATTCTATGCAGGATTGCACAGATTCTGTGGGACCCAAATGCCATTATACTTTCTGGCCATCTCCAGTATAATCCACTTAGCACATGTAATTGTCACTTCTTTATGTAAAACATAAACCAAATATGTATCAGAGGGGAGAGGCTTTTGCTACTGGATTAGAGCTAGATTTTTATAGCTCTTGCACCTCAGCATAGGGGAAAAGAAATAAGCTCTCCACTACCACTCCTACGTTTACGCCCTTGCTCACATCGTGATTCCATCCACAGTGGGGAGAATCACAGAATAGAATCATAGAATCATAGAATAATAGGACTGGAAGGGACCTCAAGAGGTCATCGAGTCCAGCCCCCCGCCCTCAAGGCAGGACCAAGCTCCGTCTACACCATCCCTGACAGATGTCTATCTAACCTGTTCTTAAATATCTCCAGAAAGGGAGATTCCACCACCTCCCTTGGCAATTTATTCCAATATTTGACCACCCTGACAGTTAGGAATTTTTTCCTAATGTCCAATCTAAACCTCCCCTGCTGCACTTTAAGCCCATTACTCCATGTCCTGTCCTCAGAAACCAAGAGGAACAAATTTTCACCTTCCTCCTTGTGACACCCTTTTAGATATTTGAAAACCACTATCATGTCCCCCCTTAATCTTCTTTTTTCCAAACTAAACAAGCCCAGTTCATGAAGCCTGGCTTCATAGGCTTCTCTAGACCTTTAATCATTCTTGTCACTCTTCTCTGTACCCTTTCCAATTTCTCCACATCTTTCTTGAAATGTGGCGCCCAGAACTGGACACAGTACTCCAGCTGAGGCCTAACTAGTGCAGAGTAGAGCGGCAGAATGACTTCACGAGTTTTGCTTACAACACACCTGTTAATACAACCTAGAATCATATTTGCTTTTTTGGCAACAGCATCACACTGTTGACTCATATTCAACTTGTGGTCCACTATGACCCCTAGATCCCTTTCCGCCATGCTCCTTCCTAGACAGTCGCTTCCCATCTTGTATGTATGGAACTGATTGTTCCTTCCTAAGTGGAGCACTTTGCATTTCTCCTTATTAAACCTCATCCTGTTTACCTCTGACCATTTCTCTAACTTGCTAAGGTCATTTTGAATTATGTCCCTATCCTCCAAAGAAGTCGCAACCCCACCCAGTTTGGTATCATCTGCAAACTTAATAAGAGTACTCTCTATCCCAATATCTACATCATTGATGAAGATATTGAACAGTACGGGTCCCAAAACAGACCCTTGAGGAACTCCACTTGTTATCCCTTTCCAGCAGGATTTAGAACCGTTAACAACAACTCTCTGACTACGGTTATCCAGCCAATTATGCACCCACCTTATCGTGGCCCTATCTAAGTTATATTTGCCTAGTTTATCAATAAGAATATCATGCGAGACCGTATCAAATGCCTTACTAAAGTCTAGGTATATGACATCCACCGCTTCTCCCTTATCCACAAGGCTCGTTATCCTATCAAAGAAAGCTATCAGATTAGTTTGGCATGACTTGTTCTTCACAAACCCATGCTGGCTATTCCCTATCACTTTATTACCTTCCAAGTGTTTGCATATGATTTCCTTAATTACCTGCTCCATTATCTTCCCTGGGACAGACGTTAAACTGACCGGTCTATAATTTCCTGGGTTGTTCTTATTCCCCTTTTTATAGATGGGCACAATATTTGCCCTTTTCCAGTCTTCTGGAATCTCCCCTGTCTGCCAAGAGAGGTTACTTCCTGGTAACCCTGTTGTAAAATTCTGGACAAGGACGATCAGAGAGCAGCAGTGTGAGGAAACACCCTTATCTTAGCTCCCTTGCTCACAAACCAGGGTATCTGACTGCGCACATAAGTAAGAGGCGTTGAGTGACAAGGAGGTGGGCAGCCAGGCCTCATGGGTGCATTGACTGCATTCAAAAGGGGGGAGGTATCAGAAACCAAGGGTTAGGGTGAGAGCCAGAGGTAGGGTGATCAGATAGAAATGTGAAAATATTGGCACTGTCCCTATGAAACTGACACACCTGATCACCCTCACCAGAGGCAATAGAAGCCAGAGGTAAGAGTCAAGCTGGAGATTAGAAACTAGGTCCCAGAGCCAAAGCTGGAGGCAGGAACTAGAACATAGAGCTAAGGGTCAGAGCCAGAATCATCTGGAGCAAGCAGAGTAACAGGCAAGAATCAGTCTCAGGTTGGGAAAGGGCTCAGGCAAGGAAGAAGCATTAGGAATAAAGCAACCATGGAGTAGTCATAGTGGTTGATATGAGTGTTGAAACGTCAGAAAGCTACTACTCCTGCTGGCTTAAGAGCCAGTCTCCTGATCTCTCCAGCCAATCAGGTGGAATAGCAAATCAGGCAGACTGCTGCAGCCCAGCTCTGCTTATTAGGTTGCTTGGGAACTAGCTTGCTGATGGCCCCGATTGATGAGGCCAGGAGAGAAACGGGGAAACTGCTCCATGAAAAAGGGGTTAAGAAATGTTTTCCTCTTCCATGGCAAGGGAGGAACTGCAATTCTCTGGGTCTGCCCAGTGCCAATACAGCTACCAAAAGTTACCATCTCATCCTCACTAGAGCAGTACAGATGACTCTGAAGATGGTTTTCTGGATCTCTCAGTAGTAGAGCTTCACAACAACAGATATTCAGCAGCACTCAGAACAATAATAATAATTGCTTCATTAGTACCTCATTTCTTGTTAAGTTCCATTGTTTCTTCCCTTTTATTTAAAATGATTCCTATCTTAAACTCTCTTCCTTGTCCATCTCCTTTGTGCACATACAACTAGAGCTGGGCAAAAATGATCCACTCATTTTTTTCAGTAGAAAATGCAGATTTGGACCAAAATATGTTGTTAATTCATGTCAATTTTGCTAAATTGTTTCAGTTAAAAAAGGCATTTAGAAATCTTCACAGTGTTTTGTTTTGACAGTTTCTGGACAAAATGTTTAAATGTTATATTTTGAAAAAAGAAGTATAAAATCAATAACAAACATTTAAGGATGAACAATGTTTCATTCAATCCAAAATGAATTTTTCTTCACAACTTTCAGAGCCACCAAAATTAAAAAAAAAATGAGTTGGGGTTGACTCAAAACTATCTGTTTGCCAATTTTTCAAAAAGACAGCAGACTGGAAAATCAGTTAATCCCATAGCTCTGCATGTAACCTTGACTGCATTTAAAAGGGAATTTTAAGTCATCCATATTTAACCTTTTCCTACTCATTATATCCTTCCCATTTCCTGGGCTTGCAACACCAGCATTGCTATCTTTCTTCTTATTTTCCCCACACTCAGTTTCTATCTACTTCATTTCTCTTCTTACTCCTTCATATATGTATTAGCCAGCCCTTAATTACTATTACCAATGCAGAAACACATATCCTGGCCTTGTTCACCTCTCACCTTGACAATCATAGCTTTCTTCATTCTAGTCTCACTGGATTTTAACTCTGGACCCTCCAATTTAATCACAAACAAACGACTCCAACCACAACACTACCTTCTTAAACCAGGACCTGACTGACAGCCCATTAACATGAATGTAGACTCGCATTGACTTCACTGGCTTAGGATAAAACCTTGCTGCATAAAAAATAAAGCTCCTCTTTCTCATCTTCAAGGCTCCACATAAACTTTCCCTAATTTAAATCTGTTATTTTTTTCCTAACATGATCCTGCCCCCAAAAATATGCATTTACCACACGGTGCTGTTCGATAACCAAAATAGTATACTATTATGTGATAATTCCTGGCAAATGTTAACTTGTCTAATAATCACTAAAATATTTCTCACATCTCATTTGCTCTCGGTCTTCCTCCCAATCCTCTCTCAATGCACTCATCTCTCTTGCTCAGCTCCACACAGTGTTTCTGTCTTCCTGTTCACCTAAGACCTCTGTTTTTATCCTTCAATTACCTTCCTAAAACCCACTTCTTCCAGAAATCTTCCCTACTTTTTTCGTATCTGTAATTTCCACTTGTGTTCTTTTGTCTCACCTTTGTCTTGTCTCTATGGGTATGTCTACACAGCAAAGTTATTTCAAAAGAACAGCCGTTATTTCAAAATAACTTTCCTAGCATCTACACAGCCAAACCGCTATTTTGAAATTAAATCAAAACTGCGGAGTGCTTATTTCAAATTTGGTAAACCTCATTCCATGAGGAATAATGCCAAATTTGAAATAGCTAAATCGAAATAAGCGCAGTATAGATGCTTATTTCGAAATAGGGGGCCTCCAGCCCTTCCCAGGGTGCCCTGGTGGCCACTCTGGGCAAAACCAGGAAAACTCCTCTCCCTCCCCCCTTCCCCGGAGTCCTTAAAGGCAGTTTGAGGCAGCTCCCACTCCCGGGGATAGCAGGACATTCCGAACATGGCCTGTGTGCAAGCACATTGGCTCTGATGGTGCAGGGAATGGTCACCCTCACCTTCCAGAAGGGAACTGGGCTTCAACCACTGTGTCCCCAGGGATAACTGACGACTTCTCTTGTTTCTCCACAGCCGCACCAGCAGAGCATGCAGGGCTCACCACCCCGCC